TACAATGCCATGGCTGGCAAAAGGGAGCCCAAGTCCTGCTGGCATCGGCCCAGCCGCTATTGTGGAAAGGCCACCATCACTAGGCAGGAAAAGGAAGTCGGCACTAAATCAATGTATATCAAAGGAAGTGAGTGGAAAAAACACAAGTGCTGCCAGAATGCTTAGCAACTTTTTTTTTTTTTTTTTAATAAAAGTTATCTTTACTTCCAAACCTCTGAGCTGGTGACAGCAGGCTTGAGGCCTGTCCACTTCAGAAGACAGGAACTACACAAATATATCTCCTGGATGCAGACAATTTCTGTTGAACGCTGCTTTTGACTTTCATTGCACGATGTGGTATGAATAGGAAAGTCTCTATGCCTGAAACGCTAAGAAACAGGGGTACATTCCTTTTTCAAATCAAAGATAGGAGAGAGAAGGAAGAAAAAACTGATTCAAGACTGAGCTGTTGCCAAATTACCATCAGACCTCTGACAGAACAGGAACTCTTCTTGGACCTCTTTGTAATTTAACAGTCTGGTACTTTGACATGTTCAGAAAATAAAACCAATGCTTTCTTGATTGATGAATGACAGACTGATCAGAAAGCATCCATAAGCTGGGATAAGAGGAAAGAGTCTGTACAACTGGGATACAGAAGGGGCCCCTGATTACTATACAGTTTACCCACGACAGACACTCGGTAGTCTGTTAGCTTTGGCATCATTGTTTGGATACCTTAGAATGCCAATAAAGGAAAAATATTTTTTTTTAAATAAAATATTTTTGGCATTGAATTTGTCTGTGAAAAAGAAACATGGTGTTCAGATATGCAGGGATACTGCTGCCTTCTTCGCAGGATGGAGCAATGTTGCTCTTTTTGTGCATATTAACTTCAGACTAGAAAGGATGGGAAAACCCTTTTCATCCCAGTTTCAGTCACGTACTTCACAAGTTTTCAGCACTTCTTTTTCCGTTTGTTTGCTACTTCATAAAAGCAAACTGTATAAAAGGGGATCTGCAGACTCTAGACAGGATACAAGCAGGTTTGCTAGACAGGTCTAGTATCAACAACTACTAGTCTAGTTCTCAAGTCCTCTACTGAGCTTCCTCTCCCAATTACCTTTGTGCACAATAGCATGGATCTGACTCCAGTTTAGAACCCCCACCATGGAGACTGTCTGTTGTAGTTTAATTGGATTTATTATTTGACAGTAAGATTGCATTGCAAATACTGATCTTAATTCCTATAACAATTATGCCTCAAGTTTACAGTTAATGAAACTGAAGCACTCCTCTTCTATACAGGGAGCTGGTTTAGAACTTGGAAACAAAACAGCTCTGACATTCCCAGCTCCTAGTACTGCCCTCGTGATTTGCAGCACCTGTTGTCTGAAGCATTAGCTCTGACAAGCCCCAAAATAGTTGTAACAAGCACAGCCATGCTCTGCTTCTGTTTCCAGCAAAATTTAGCTTTTCCTCTCTTCTAAAGCAAAAGCCATTTACACAGAACACCACCTCAGGCACTAGCCTTCATACTGCAGATCCCTATTAATTGCTCTTTCACTGCTCTCCGAGTTTCACACCAAGGAGCCAGATTCTAAACCACAAACTTTTTTTTTGGACCCATAAGTCTTTGAAGCAGTTTCAGGTGTTTTAGTTTTTCATATAAAAAGTTAACAGCTTCGAGCATCCTTCAAGCACAGAGTTGAATAGTACTGCATAGTTATACAAGGTGTTATCACAAAGAAATGGGGACAACTCGGACAAATCTACTAGAGAGAGAAGTCATGAAAATTAGTGTCTTACATGGACCTTTCCACTAAACATGAGTTCACTAAGCTAACAGAGACATGAAGGAAATGAGACAAAGGAACGTATTACTTTGACTTTTCTCATTATCTTCTGTGCAGCTGTGCCAGTCACCTATGATATTAGCTTTGTGCTCTACTCGCCTGGTAATTACGAGTGTGAAAGGTTAGGGAACTCAGTGTGTAGGGCACTGGTTAGATATGCAGTGCCAATTCCTGTGCTGCTAGTATAATGCTTGATTACAGAGTAAAGAGAGATTCCAAAGTCCAACATAAAAACCCCCAATAAAATCAAATCTAGGTTTCATGAACTGAAATTGCCAATCCAAATAAAAAGCTTAATGGACTCACGTAAGCTTTCCAAATTTCTAACCTCAGTGAATCTGGCTTTAGGACATCCCCTTTAGCAGCTCCTCAGCTGTTCAACAACTTAGTAAGGAACTTTGAAACATTCTATTGTAAATATATTAAGAGCTTTTGAAAATGAACTGCCTTGTCCTAGAATAACCTTTCAATTTCTCATGGTTTTCATAAATGCTATACCATAAATACTAGTGCCCAAGAGATACATTTCACAAAACAAGGACAAGCAGAAGTGGCAAAAATACTCACTGACAGATAGATGCCTACTTCTGGGTTCTGGCTGCTGATAGGGTGTGTTCACATCCCCGACAGATTGGGAAGTTTTAATCCTGACTTGTTTGGGCAGTCCAGAATGGGGTGAAGAACTGGTCTGTTGGGTAAAATAAAATAAAAAAAAAAAAAAGAAAAAAAATGAGACTGAGGAGCTCAAGCAGTCTGGCCACAGTTTCAAAAATATCATTATGTTTAGTAGCAAGAAAGTAGCTGAGAAACAGTTCTAGAGCCTGAAATCTTATTAACTTCACAGAACACAAACAATAAAGGCAACAAGAGAGCAAGCTTCATAATTACTGTGTAAAACAGGAGCCGAACAACTAGAGCATGCTGCCCTCCAGCCTCAAATCCAATGCAGGATTTACAAGTCTCAATGTTTGTCTTCCATTAGCAGCTACCTCTGAAACAAGAAGGGGCTCGTATCACTCTCTGAGACCAGACCACGGAAGAACCTACAATTTCTATCAGCCACCTTGGCCAGAAGAGATAAATTACAAATCTTTCACTCTTTCAGAAGCACTTAGATAGCAAGCTGACTCCCCACAATTTTTAAAATAGTACACTGACAATTCAGTCAGTCTAAGTGAAAATAAAATTCTAGAGCGTTTAAGAGCACAAAGAGTTTGGAGATGCCAACACGAATGCTGCTTGTGTTGCTTTTATTCACCCTTCCCTGAACGTACATAGACATAATCTAATTAAAGATAATTTTTCCACGGTGTCGTCTTCTCATTCAAATCAGGAAGAGAAATGAAAGGAGACATGTCAAAGGACTTCTCCCCTATTTGTTGACAAAGATGGAAGGGGTAACTCCAGCAAATTTTGTAGGAAGAGGAACTGCAGGATGGTTTTGCAATTTAGGGCAGTAGGATGCTGCCCAGGAGAACCGGTGCCCTCCATGCGCAGCACTTATGCACAGTTCTGCCACGAGGAACTGCAAGGCCACTTCAGACTCCAGAGGATGCTCACTTGGAAACATTTAGACTGCAGCTTCAGGCAGCTAACACCTCTGTGCTCTCTCCATGGATGATCCAGGGAACATGGGCTCTTAACAGAGGACTGAACAGGACACCAGCTATCTGAGGATGGTGCGCTGAGGTCTGAACGTACGAAATACTGTGAATTGCCAACTTCCCCCAAGCAAATGAGATCCTATGCATGTCAAAGCAGGTGCTCAATACTAGCGGACACTTTCAGTTTTAATCTTTTTGTCCCAAAGCACCTAGTTTTACAAGAGGATATAATACTCCTTTCCTCTTGTGCATTACAGAATTTAACTGATGTTAACTTATTTTATTGAGAGGAACAGAACCAAATATACCCCAAGCAAATTAATTCTGACTTCTGAAAATTATTTGAATATGACTGGCAAACAAGGTGTGAGGCCACACAATCAAAAAAGTACAGTATGGAATAGTTGCTCATTTCATAAGCAATTACCCTTGCACAGAGTAAGGAGGAAGCCTCATTTAAAATTATATATACTCTACCATGAACAGATTCATGGGAGCCGAATAAAGGGTACAGAGGTCACACCACTTATGTGGACAGTCTGGCTTTAGTACTCTAGGTGTTCAACTTAACCAGTTCTTCCCATTAGTTTCTAAACACAAAAAGAGGACTGACAACAGAAGCGAGTTGCTTGATAAAAGAAAGCACAAATGAGCCACAAAAAGAAAATTAATATAAATGCTATTCACAAACACAGGCTCTCAGTACTAGTCACACAGCTATTGCTGTAAAGTTAATTTGTTTTATATACATATTTGTGCCAAAGTCACGGCATTACCTTTCCATCCCCAGAAAAAGAAAAGAGCACAACCAAAACAAAATCTGCATCCTGTACTTCAGGAAAAATAATGCTTCCCGCTCCCTCAGTGGGATGAGATCATGCAGCCAAGAAACCTCCTTCAGACTTCAGGGCTTTTGCTTTATCACATGTAGGGCTCTCCTGTCAGGCAACTCAGAACTGAAGAGGAAGTCGGAGGAGAGGGGGGAAACAGTGGCACTTACTGAAGACTTCGCTGTTTGTTTCTGCTTTGAGCAAAAGAGGAAAAAACAGCTAATAACAGGACAACACCACAGTACTGGCTACTGGCTGGTGTAGGGATGAGATTTACTAAGTGTTTACTGTAGGTGGCTTACATAAAGTTTAGAAAGTGTCATTTAACATCTGGTTTGCAGTCTGAAGACACTGAAATTAATAGAGTGCTGTAAAAGAAGATTGTTTTACTGTGTTATACCAAAAGTTGAGGCCACCTTTTACAGACTGTTTCCTGACAACGCAGAACAAAGTCTGACTACACTAGGTCAGACCAAAGCCCTTCTTGCCAAGTACTGTCTTCAGAACAGCCAGTAACAAATGCTTAGGGAAAGGGCATAGGACAAGAAACAGCATCATCCCCTCGTACACCTTTCCGGCTTTTGGTATCCAGTCATTTGAGAAAGAGCTGTTAACACTCCTGAAGGTCTTTGTATTTCTATTAATATGGATTATCAGATTCAAAAATGGCAGGTGTGATTATTTCAAGAGCTTGAGCTCACAGCCTGCAGAACTTGAATAAGGATGAACATTGAAGATTGACAAGCTACTACCAACAGAGCTTTCAAGACAGAGTAGCTTTTTGTGTCACAATGTCCTTCACCACGACACACACTCTTCAAGAGAATTTGGTAATTTGCAAATAAAATATCTAGGCTATCAAGGTTTTTGGCTTGAAAAGCTGTATGACCTTAATGCTTAAAAAAAAAAAAAAAAAAGACGTCGGTTGAGTGAACCTGCAGTATAGGAAAGTGAACCAACACACCATCAAATTCATCTCGGGTGTGAATACACATTATTAGCTAAAAGCTACTTAGTTTCTACAGAATAAGGCTGGCTACAGAACTGAAAAATCACTGGGAGCTGTCCTTAGGCTTCTCACCCAGAAAAAAAAAGTGCTAACAGCTTGTCTTCAAGGACAACCTGTGCTTTCTTAAAGGCAAGATAATTACATGCACTGTCAACAGCATGCTATTAATCAAAGGTAAAAAAAGTTCTCTGTGAACAAAACTCATTAAGTGTTTTCTGAATACAGTTATTGGGTACTTGATATAAAATGGCCTTCATATGATACAGCTTAAAAAGCTGCAACATTTTAGTCCCTTAACAACTGCTGAAGTCAGGAAAAAAAAAAAGAAGGAAAAAAAGAAATACCTATAGCTAAGCCAAAGCAAAGAGGATAAACATGCATTTGTGTCTGTGAAGAGTAATTTTACTAATTCCTGTTACTCTCGGCTAAGGCTACCATCATGTTTCAGAGACTTAAGAGTAAAAACCTTCATTTCGCTGCAGTTACAGAAGTTGTTACCTACATGGTTTCTGTCCTGAGACAGCAATAATATTCTAAGGCTTTTCACATTAGAGCTTCGGTCTAAGAGGTCTACTGCTTTATCCAGGTCATCTTGATTTTTCAGAGGAATAGACAGCTGCAAAATAAAGAACAGGAAAAAAAATCATTAGAAAAGACAGAAAAAGTAAGTCTACTTCCACAATAGGTATTTAAACAAACATTAGAAAAAGAAAAAAAAAAAAAATCAGAATCTAAGATAGGACTCTGATTGCTGAATTATTCCACAAATTTTCATCACAATACTGTCTTACTGTCCTTTTTAACACGGTTTTCCTCCCATGCCTTTCAGAGAAATGGCTGGCCCTATGCAAATTGCTAAGGCACAATACACAAAAATATTAATTGCTACCTGAACTTGTTGTTTGCGAAGAACAAGTCAGAGACAGGCCCCTGACTCCCTGATGACAACATTATCCTAGAATACTTATGAATCCAGACCTAACGATCAAGTGAAAATTTGGCTTCAGACAGAGATTAGTATGAAGAAGATTAAGACTTTGAAAGAGCGTTTCAAAGAAGAATTTAAAACTTGCTAGTAAGACCCCAGGAAATCATGCTCATACACCCTCTATTCTACAGCCCGCTCACATCTTGAAACGTGAATGTTATTAACACTGAGGAACCTCTTTCATTTTTGTCCGGCTCCTACTGGTGAACGGGGCTTCGCATCTCTCTCGTTAGGGATGCAGTCCCGAACGGCGGCAGGGCAACACCACAGCAAAAAAACCAAGGAAAGGCCAGGGTATCCAGAGGGAGAAAGCCAACAGAATACTTCGGATTATTAGCCCAGACTACCCAGTTCCTCAGAGACAAGTGCTATTCCTTGTGTCACTTTCTTGTACCAATGACAGCACCTGCAGTCCCCCTACAGCGTCCCATCCCGGTGAGTCTCCCCAGTTCTCTAACTCCCCTTATTTGCCGCAAGCTGGGCAACAAGCAGAAAGCGTTGTCACAAATGTCTAGATGGCTGCTGCTGGTCAGCAAACACAGGCAGTACTGACTCTGCTATCAGGCAGCTGAAGAAATGACTCTGGGACTGCCTGCAGTCTTCAGACTGTATATATATTATCTTGCAATAGTTGCTTTCAACAGTCAGAATACTTCAAATACCCTTTTTTACTTCCCCAAGAGAGTCTCCCAAACACTACCAGTACGAGGAAGCAAGATGCTGATGTTCATACAATACACACATCAGTGTGATGTTTTGTCAGCATCAGCATGTTTTCCTCTGGAGCAGAATGATTCAATTCATATCAGAGGGAAGAGCTGAAAATTAAATTTAAGGGTACGGAATTTGGGATAGGAAATGGAGGTGTCATCCAGAGAGAGTGTTACATGCTCTGAGCGCTGATGACGAGGCTCTGTACCTCATTGTTCATGTAGTGGAGGTCCAGTGGCTGGCCAAAGGCTGTTTTCACTTTCTGTTGTACATCTTCATAGCGCACGGGACGGACGAACGGGATAATTCTGGAACGAAAGAGAATCACTGATTGAATTCAGAGGTCATACTTGATAACACAATCAAATCAGATGGCTGAACCATTAAAAACATATTTGAATGTCCTCCTTTCATCCTCAAGCAGGTAGTGAACCTTTCTAATTTGCATTAATTATTTTAGCAAGGCATTCTTGATCTTTGGTCCATTTCCAAATAGTTTGCCAAAATGCAATATTCAGCTGAACATTTCAAATAGAATGCCTTCGTCCCTCAATAGAAAAGTATCCTTTACTGAATAAATTTCTGCTACATAACAGGATACCAGTCTCCTATGCACTTTGGCTTAAAGAATACTGCCTCAGGCACAAAACACAAACAAATACATTCAGTGAGAGTTGAATTAAAAGTTGCAGAAGGTCCAAACAACAAAAAAGTATTCCGTTTAAGTACTCCAATATCTGAACTCAAAACTCACTCCCTAAAAATTTCCAAAATGCGTTCCAGTTGAAAGGTTTCAACAAACATTCCCACAGCAAAGTTAGTCCTGAGCTCCTGAGGGAAGGCATCAGCAGGAGGACACAAAGGAATCTGAAAATCCTCTTTCCCAAAGGTGGTCTGCGACGTTAGCCCTCTGCATGCTCAACTCAAACATCTCCAAACATCTGAATCACAGACTCACCAGACTGCCTCTGCAGTTATCCTTCAAATCCTGTGCAACACAGCAGGGGCTTTTTCTCAAGAGTTGAAGTAAAATCTAACTGTAACTGTGCAACTGTTTGTCACTGACAGCTTGCTTTATTTAGATACATTGCTTCTTTTTTTTTATTACAGGCCTAATACATCAAAACTTAAATACTGCTTCAGCTGTAGTAGCAATGGCACAGCTGACTTGCAGTAATTCAGATTATCCATATAAAACAGAATGTTCATATAAGGTGGATCAGTCTTATACTCTCATGCTTCTCACGAGTAGTTTTCATATGTCATGCATCTCTGGGCACCTTCACCAACTGACACATAAAATACGCACAGATGTAAACTATTCTGATCATTTTCTGAGCCCTGCTCTTGTGGCACACTAAACCCCTAGTTCTAGCACTCAGCCGTTTCCTTGCCAGTTGAATAGCAGGAGTTTGACTCACATACACAAATGGCCTCAATAAATTCAAAATGGCAATAGGCACAGCCACCCTAGGGGAACCCTGCAGAATCCTGTGGCACATGCATGCTTTTCAGAAAATGACAGTATAGTTTTCTTTGCTAGGTTTTTATTACTGTTTTACCTACCTTGGAATAGAAACTCTAATGCTTTAGGCAAAGTAGTAATATGAAGCTACAGCAAAGCATCTAAACCTCTTCATTTTGGTGGAATATAGTTTACAACTCACTAGCAACAACCCAGCAAACCAAGGACGTTTACTGCTTAGAAACCCATTTTTCATCTCACTGCTGCACAAGGCCCAGATGGTTGGTTGTTCCTGCCTTCGGGCTCCTGCAACCAGACTTCTCGCCATCTGCTTCCGTGGGCCACGAGACCACACTGCGTCTCCACTACTGGCAAGTTAAAAGAACAGCTCTGGGACAGAGCTGACAGCCACCATCATTCCGAAAGCTATTAGACCGCTTTGATAGCTGCTTACCCCACTGCTGCAATTTGAAACAACTCTGCTTTGGCATAGCCGAAATACTGCCACAAAAAGCTTGATTATTAGCATCACTTAACAATTTTGCCATCAGGCAGAAATAGGAAGACCTGAATGGACCACAGAAACTCAAGACCTATATTGCTCACAGGGGCAACTCTTTCAAGTCAGTGAAACCCCGAATCACCTCTGGAGAAGCTCACACGAGTTCTTGCTGAACCTGTGCTTTCGCCAGAAGGCTCCGTTTCCAAAACGTCCATCCAGCCTGCTCCCCCAGCACTCAGTATCCTTTCACGATATGCAGCTTTTGTTTTAAACAGCTCTAGAGTTAGTTGGCTTCCTTAGCCCCTTCCCAGGAAGGGTTCATCTTGCTACCAGACCTACAACATTCAGCTATTTAGAAATAATTGTCCTTGTTAAAAAGCAGCCCACAATAACATTTTCTACATATTACTAAGAAACCCATCCATGAAATTATAGTCCTCTGGCACCGTACAAACGTAATTTAGCTCTCAGTTGAGCTGAAGTCCCTTATAAAGGCTTCCATTCTACACTCAATGCATTAAAAAGCAGAGCTGTTCTCAGGTGCCACAAATTCTATTAGTTTAAAAAGTCTGTGCACTCCTCTAACACAAAATCAGGGACTGCAGGGTTTAAGGAGCCCATTCCTGCCTGACCACCTTAAATATTTGTGGTTAGATCTGGCAGCTCCTCTGAAACCAAGCACACACACTTACATTCTCGGTGCAAGCTTGCTGTCTGTAACTGCATACCACTTTGGGAATGGGGAATTCAGGCGAGCGTAACTGCATAATTAGACTAACACACAATCAACCTTTTCATTTTAATGTTACTTCAGAAAAAACCCTTTCTTGTCCCCTGAGCTCTTTGCCATCTTAAACGCACTCAGGCAGAAGACATGCAAGATGATAAGCCTGTGGTGACAAGATTCTGCTTCTGAGTTACCTTGTCCTAACACGGTATGACAAGAAATTGTGACATGTGGCACAGTCGCTCTGTTGTAGTCCACACAATGCTTTTGACACCGCAGCGTGCTGAGATGATCTGGCTGACAAAGGCGGCAGTAGATCCCAGCTACAATTACTTTTAAAATTTCTCCTTGAGCACCAAAAGTCAGTTTTTTTTTTTTCAGTGACAGAATTCCTCATTAGGACTTCAGTGAATGAAACAGTTCAATTTTTAAGGAAGACTTTACAAATTATTCTCTACTGCCTGCTTTGACAACAAAGAATGCCTCTGCTTTTTCGCTTTAACAAAAATCCCTAAATCTGACAAAGGAGGATACTTGAGGAGGAGCTTAAGCAGCTCAGCCAGTAACCTTTGCTAGTAACAGGCTGTTAGGAACACTACATACAACTTGCGCTGTTGAACTATCAACATTTGCATTTTATCATGAAACCGTGAATTACTACATGTTGAAAGTATTGTCTGGGATGGGAGAAACCGAAGGATTCTCATAGGATGTCTGTGAAGAGTAGCATATAAATTCATGCTTACAATCCAGTTAATGCCTTCAAAAAAAGGAAATCGGACCATAACATCAAGATCCCTTTTTCCCCTCAGCCAGAGCTCAAGAGCAGCCTCAAAGAGGCTGCAAACAAGCTTGGAGTCTTCCTGTATGTTCACAGGGCCACTAAACAGCTATACCAGTACCAAGAGTTCCTCTCAATTAGATGGTAGGTAAGGGGCTTTTTGAGACCTACTTTGAAATGTCTATGCAATTTTACCCCTTGGAAACAGTATTGTAGACACTGAAAATGCTAATTCAGTTTTTTGTAAAAGAAAGGGTCTCAAAACCAAGTATCAGAGGAAATAACAAGGAAACTTTTAGACCAACAAACAAAAAAACTTTCCCTTGCTGAATCTGTTGCTCAGTCACAGCACGACAATGATAGGTCATCATGAAGTGAGAAACTAGAAAAGAATGACACTAATTTGATCAGTTTCATTTGGTTTTAGTTAAATTAAACAAATAGGGAATATATCTGAAATAAGACTATCAGGCTAAATTTTTTTCAGGCTGGACAACTTTTAATATTACTGCAATTTACTTACAAATAGATATTATGAAAATAATTCAAAGGAAGTGTCGTATGACACACTGACTTTTAAAAATAACCAAGTTGTGTATGACCTGTTTGCTGTTGCCTTTACTCTGTGTTTTTCATTCAGGAAGAAGGAAAGTGAAGCCAACAAAACATTTAACCTAAATTCCTAATAACTGAATTATTCTACTAAGCAAAGCATCAAAGTAATGAAGACAGACTTACCGCCTTTCCCCATTATGTTCAAACTTTATCCTTACATCATTCTGCAGAAGAAAGAACAAAAGGTTAGTTCACAATGAAACTTTGGCATACATAACAGCACACAAATGGATCATATTATGATTTTAAGGCCCAAACACAAAGCAGGTCAATTTGTGATTGCCGCAGGTATCAACCCCTCAAAAGGCTAACCAGAACACAAGTCTGGTAACTTTGTCTGTGGAACCTGAAGCAGACTCTGGACAACAAGTGGCTGACATGTGAACACAGCACCGTGAGGAGTGGAGATATTGCTAAAGGAGAAAGAGAAGGAAAGAGGTAAAAAACAAGTTGTAATTTTAATTAATTGTCACTTAAACAGAGGACACTGAACTATACGGAAAATTAATCCATCTTTAACACTGCATGGCGAAAACCTGAAATTGAGTCCAACAGCATATTCATCTGAACCAAAGCTATTTTCCTTTGTGCATTCTCAAAGCAAGTATGTTTTCTTCTATGGCAAAAAAAAAGAGAGAGAGACAGGGAATGTGCTACATTCATTATTCTTAATACACAGACTAAACCCCTGCTTTTGCAAAAATACAGCCCCTGAAACTCAAACTATGAAGTCACAAACAAGTTAAGTATGTGTCATCTTTTAAAGTGCAAAGGGGTCATCATCCATATCTGGCAGATGGTTAAAAGCACTGACTGTGCAACCTGTGCACTTCACTGTAAGGTCAGAAGATGCTATGTGGCACGGAAGAGTCAACATGCTGAACTTTCAACTCCAGAGATCAAAGTTCAAATCCCAATTTAGGTCACAAAGATAAAAATAAAAGGGAAAAATCTGCTCTGATAAGACTGCATAATTTCTGCTGCACAATTTATGTGATTGGAATAGATTAAGCCATCTGTGAAAGCCTTAGACAATAGGCAATCATACATCTAGGAACTTCAAAAAAATGTGGCCAGGAAATGCTCTTTAGCTAGAGGAAATATCTGGCAGGCCTAGTGGTCGAGAATGCAGTTCAAAGGGACCCATGCAATCACTGCGAGTACACAGGATTCCTGCAGCAGTACTGTAGGTACAGAATTGATCAAGATGAATGAGCTTCCCAGTTACAGCAACAATCATCTGCAGGTGAGTAATTTACACACAACTTTTACCAAAGACGTCTTCTCAGATGTGGGGAGAGAAAGAACTCACTCTAGAAAGACCAGTGAAATAAAGCAAATTCTAGAGAACTCATTTTAATTGAACAGCAAAGGAAAAAATGCAACAAACAGCATAGGAATAATGAACTATAAAAGATGTCCATCAGCCAGCTACTGATGGAAGAGTTGTTTCTCAGCCATCATGGATGAAGGAATGATCCCTTTATATTAGGAATTTTCAGGGAAGGAAGGCTATACTGTTCTATCTAGTCCAGTCTAAGGGAATTAAACAGGACTGTTTGGATTAAATTGCATTAAAGTAATTTTTCAGATTATACTTCTGACCTCAAGATGTGTTTTAGGTCATGAAACAGCTAAGTGACAAAGCTCTCACTAGTTAAAATTAAAGAACACTGAAAAATCTTCAGGGCTCTTTGGAAACCTTTCTTCAACTTACTGGTACCTAAGCAAACTAAATTATCTTTCTCAACAGCACCGCTTGCTTTCAAACCTGTAATCTGTAGCAAAAGGGTGGCGGGGAATCTGGCATCTATCTCCTGATGATTTTTCCAAAAGGATCAGACACTGGTCATTTGTGTCTATTTTTCAAAGATCTAAGGAAAGGTATTTAAAGTGATCTTAGTGTTTGAATTTCAGAGAAAGCCTAGAGGAGTTAAACATCTAGTGCTTTTGGTTTCCTTTGAAAGCAGTGAACCTATCACCTACCTAAACCACTTTTTAAAGCAACTCACATAAACTGTCCTAAGAGACAACAATGGAAGCAAATCCAAGTTTGGTGCTTTAGCATTCCAGTTCTGTGATGCGTATCATAAATAATGATTACAGATTTTGATTTAAGACACCTCGAATTTATGTTTCAAAGTGATTTGGAAAGGATTTTGTACTACTCCATCTATGGATTTGTCCAGAACATTCAAGGAAATCCCATATCCCAGTTGAACAAGTAGATTATGAGCAGACAAAGCATAAGAAAGAGACAGACGTGAACTTTAAAGCCTGCTCCAAAAAGCTTAAGCCTGTAATAAGGATATAACTGGAAAGAGTTATTTTACTGATATAGACTAATGTTAACAGGAGAGGTTGCCTAACTGTAACTTGATTTAATCTTTTGAGACAGTAATAGACAAAGAATTCTTGACTGAAATTGTTACTTTTGCATTCAAGTATTTCATTCAAATGATATGCAGCATATACTGACAGAGCGGTATTATTCTGCCCTTTCTTTCTACCAGAAAGCCAATGCAATAGTTTGCTCTATGAAAAAAAAGTCTCTAGCAATGTAAAATGAACCTAGAGATGTTTTAAAGTATTGACCCTGCCACTTATTACCTTGGGTCAAGGATTTCTTTTAGAAAATGGACTTTTAGAAATGGACAACCCCACACCCAAATAAGGGTTAGTTTCAGTCCCATCTTCATGTGACACATGACTGGGTTAACTCCAGACAATCCTCCCTGTTAAGGACGCTGCCTCTGTTCAGACACCTGTAAATAGCTGTTTTCTTTTTCACTGAAGCAAGGTTTCTTACAGCTTCACTAAAGCCAATCCTTTCAGACAATCCCCTTCACTGTCCTTGTATCAACTTCAGTTTGACTACCTTTTATCAAGACCTTCATTCTGTATTCACATGCAGTCTGAATTATGTGAAGACAAGACCAGCATTAGTTCGTTATCTGACAGACTGCTTTATGCAGCTTTAAACTGCAGCGGCCTTCTTTTGCATCTGAGATGAAAATACTCGTTTCCTTTTCATCATTATGCTTCTCGGTTCCCTGCTTCCCTTTGAATTTAAGTATTATTTCCATTACAATGAAAAGTGCATCATATTGCCATATCATGACAGAGTCAGTAAAGAAATGTTTTCCTGGCCTCCCACACCTGCTTAAATGAGGTCTATAAAGGTCACTGCACACAACTTTAAAGCATGCTCCTAATTTATAATTGCTAATATTGAATAGGAAACCAGTTTTCTTACCGGAATTTTTTTTTCTTCCATGGCAGAGGCACACTGGTTTGTTATTGCAGGGCTGCCCAAGAGCGGTGGACTGCTGACATTGTGTTTTTTCTTTAAAAAGAATAAAGACATTTTAAAAAATGGTAGTATGATTGTGAAACCAGAAAACCAGTTGGTAAACTTTTTAGCTAATCTACACAGACTAAAACCCATCAGAGAGACATGTGGGAGGAAGGCACAATACCAAGATGTTGCAAATTATCAAAACTGCACCCTCCCTAGTCCATAAAGGTAGCTAAATAAAAAAGCTACCAAATAAAAAAGCGCAGGCAATACAGCCTGAGCAAGAACAGGGAGCTAATCCACCTGTGATGCTTCAGCTTTCAGCAGCACGAGACAGAACAGAAGCAGCAGATCCACTGTCAACCAACTCTGTCCCTTCCGCCTCCAGGTAACAATGTCAAGTACCGACTAAACAGCCTATTACCTGTTTGTTGGAGTGAGCAGTGTCTTTATTCTTCATGGTATCATATCCAGTCAGTCTGTGACGTCGGCTCATCTGGAGTGCTACCAGGTCCTTCATGATGGATTTCAAGGCCTCTTGTTCGTCTGTGATGCACAAGAATTTTAGCAGTAAGTTGCCTGGGAGAGTAGCAACCGTGACACTTCTGCACTTGTTTTCTGCTGGCTCACAGAAAGACAATCCTTTTTAAGATCTTTGCAAATACAGTGTAATTTCATTTAGTCATAAAAAGCCCAAACTTAACCTAATATCATGAAGTAGTAAACGGACAAATTTTAAGTCACTTGTCCAATGTCACAGAAGGATCTGGCCATAGCAAGGTTCAGAATAAATGTCCCCAGCCTCTAGTTCTGTTAAAATGGCTTCACAACAAACAGTACAACTTGGACAGATTTGCTAGATCATCATAGGTCATTTAGGAAGGGCAAACTGATGTGCTTCTGCCAAGGAAAACCTGGTAAGAATCTATTCTTTCCAATTTTATATCCTGTTAACTTAGAATTCTTGCTTGCTAGTGGAACAAACCGCGGCCAGTAGAAAGAAAAATGAAAATCTGGACAAAGAGTCATCTTAGAATATCTCTGAATACAAATCCACTTGCACTGATTTCCCCAACACATTCCTCTCTTCCCCCAAAACAAGCTGATGGAACAAAGTTCAAACTGTTTTATGAGACTTCAAGACGTACTGAACAAATTCAAATCGCACAGCATTGAGAACACTGTCTGCTGGCAGAGTATAATGCAGCAAGTTCAATTCAAGGCTTCTTGCAAATGCAGGAAAATAAAAAACATACATTGAATTTTTTCTTATACATGCTGCTAACTGAAAATTACTTTCTGAAGCTAGGATTCCTGATTTAAGCACTTTAAAGTGTTCTTCCACCGCTTGTTAGTTTTGAGGAGAGCAGAGATATTTAGAAGAACTCTGTATGAAGTCTATAGGAGAAAAAAAAAAAAGGTAAAGGAGAGAAATGCATAGAACTTGGGCTGTGATGGATGCTAGCACAAAGTAAGGTGTCTAAAAGCTACTGAAAAGAATCCTTTGCTTTTGCAAGCATAATAATCCTAAATTCCTTGATACTGCAAAAGGTAGAAAAAGCTGACACGTGAGGTTTGGTTCAACATGGGACAGTGCTAGCCGCTTTGCTCCTAGGCGCTGTGCCACCAACGTAACGAAGCAGCATCAGATGCTATCACTCAGAGGATCTGCAACTGGCACACTCATGCCTACGGGATTGGTGGGCTGTTGTCTCTTGCATATCAAGGCTCAAGAGGTTTTAGGTATAAAGCCTTGTTTCCTTGGCAAATAATAGGTCCAGTTAAATCCTTCCTGATATTATGCATGAAATTTGGAGCACTGCTGAAATCAGCTCTGAACATGTGCAGAAGAAGAACCTGCCCTTTCTAAAAGAGTCTGGTTGGACTTGACCACCAGTTTTGGAAGTAAAGCTTTCTGCCCCTGCCCTTTTTTTTTTTTTAACAATTAGAACTTTTGGAAGTGATGTGAACCAGTAACACACAACGCATAGATGAGGTTATCACAACCCTACTCACATGAGAGTGTATCAGGTGTGCAGTGCTCGATATGCTAGGTTCCTCCTTTCTTCCCGAAGTCCACAAACACGTCACTTCGATGTGTTTGAATTGAAATAAGCATTTTTGAAGCCGATTTGTAAATAACTGAAACTTGATTTTAAAAATCCAGTATGGCTACATACCCCTTCTTGATTCATCACACTGGTTTGGATGGGTAATGGCTTACATTTGGAAGTGTTGTCCTGGGAACAGCTGCTGTACATTAAATGACGGACTGTCTCGCATCTGTATTCCTCTGTAAAAGGGACTCATTGGGACTATTTGTTTCTTCAATTTCATGTTATGCATTTGTTCATGAGTGTCTCTCAAAGAAGCTAGCTTATGTTTTATGTAGAAGACTGGGTTCATAATTAATCCATGTCTGAATAACAAACTAGCTTTTCGCAATGCTTAAAGGTAGCAGATGTGGGACACATAGAGATTCTACAGAACACAGAGAGTGAATGCTACCAAGCAAAAAGGGGGAAAAATACACCTATTTCTAAAGGAGCAACAACTAAAAAAGCCCCAGTCAGAACAAAAGTCACACTAACATTATCTTTGGTACAACCAATAGTTTCTGCCCAGAAGGTCTGCTTCAGCTTTCTGAGAGTAGTAAACACTAAAGCAGAGGTACTTCCACTATGGTCTTTACTAGGTACTACCAGAAAACCAGAAACATCAAGCCTAGGGCAGACTATGGAGGGGAATGGACAGAAATCCCCCAGTGCATTGGCAGAAGGTGTTAATTAGAGTAAAACTCTTAAAAAAGAAAAGCAGAGAAAATAAAGTTACTTAAAAAAAAAAACAACAAAGCAATCCACAACCCAAAATCAAAAGCCACCACATCTCTGCTGTCCAAGACAAGCCAAATGAGACAGTAACTACATTGTGGTAGTGGAAAAGGGAGAGTACTCCTTGAAATTCCAACTGCATGCAAAAGAAGCGAGGGGTATAAGTAACACAATGAAAGCAGTAGGTTGCTTTTTGAAGAGTACATCAGCCAAAGGAAATAATTGCTAGGATCTATCTCAGCACTAAGTAACCCCTTGTGGGAGGAAAATGTGAAAAAACAGTTGTGAATGAAGTTAAAGTTCCAGGTAGCACAATCTTTTTTTTTTTGGTTGTTTTAAATTGTTTCCAACTTTACATTTGAATGTTTAACCTTTTACCTTACTGGAGTGTCTCCAATTTACTCTTATTCTTTAGTCTTGTTTGATATTAAGCATAGCCTTTGAGTCACCCAGCAGAAAAGGCTGTAACTTTGCACAACTAAATATTACAAATTATGGACTGGCATATCCCTGGAGTGCCTACCACCCAAAACATGCTGTGAAGAACTGGGATGCAAGTTTTCCACTACAGTGCAGTTTGGGTTTGGCCAGATACCAGGAGGATGAAGAAGAGCTTGTCTTGGCAGACAGTCAGGGTTCCTTTGGGCAAGAAGCAAAAGAGCTATGAAAGCAGTTTATAACTAAGCACTCATGACAAGAAATCAAATCAATCAAAGAATACCTTCATGAGTAAGAATATGCATCCAAACAGTACGGCACATCACTGGAAAATAAGGATCAATGGTTACAATGCAATCGTCAGCTACAGGTGTTTGATCCCAAAGCCCAGGCTGTGTAATACAGTCAGCGGCTTCACAGGGTCTCGTTTGTATGAGGAAGTGGGCAAAGAGGACACACATCTAGTCAATTATGTATCTCTTAAGAAAGATTACAGCTCAGCTACCTAGCGAGTGTCTTTATTAACTAAGGCAACTTGTGCATTTACAATACACTAAGACATTAAACTCTTAAGGGCAGCATCTGGCAAGCGCCTCAACCCCAGCTAAGCGCACGATGACATCCGTATCTCACTCACTGTAACCTCAGTTTCCTCTGTAGACAAGTGCTAATGCTGAAATCTTCCTTGCATCTGCACAAAAAGGAACACAATGCAGTATCGAAGGCTGATGGAACGACTCCACGTGAATTTGAATCTTACATATTTGAATCTTACACAGCAAAGACATGGACCTGTTGGAGCGGGGCCAGAGGAGGCCACCAAAATGCTCCGAGGGCTGGAACAGCTCTGCTGGGAGGACAGGCTGGGAGAGTTGGGGTTGTTCAGCCTGGAGCAGAGAAGGGTCCGGGGAGACCTTCCTGCAGCTGCCAGGGCTGAGAGGGGCCGAGAAGAAAGATGGGGACAGACTTTTTAGCAGGGCCTGTAGCAATAGGACAAGGGGTGACGGTTTTAAACTGAGAGAGGGCGGATTCAGACTAGATATAAGGAAGAAATTTTTCACGATGAAGGTGGTGAACCACTGGCCCAGGTTGCTCAGAGAGGTAGTGGATGCCCCATCCCTGGAAACATTCAAGGTCAGGTTGGACAAAGCTTTGCGCAACCTGATCTAGTTGAAGATGTCCCTGCTCGCTGCAGGGAGGTTGGACTAGACAACCTTTAAAGGCCCCTTCCAAACCAAACTACTCTATGATGTTACACATTTTTAATAGCCTCACCCTAAGCTATCAGCTCCCTAGTACCAAAACATATATTCTGTAATTCATTCCTATGTTGGTGACATAGGAAACAAAGGAGTATTTATCTTTTTAAAACATAAGGTGAATGCCAAATACTGATCTGAAAACGTGTATGGAAAACATTTTTCCATTTAAGACAGCATTGTGATGGATTTAATGTTGAGACGCATGAATACTTCTTTATTTCCATCAAAATACTGGACTTCCATAGATTGGCTTGAAAGAAGCACGTGCAGCAGCATCACATTAATCACACAATGCAAAAGTTACTACAAATGAAAACTAGGCAATTTTTGAAGCGCACTGAGAGACCCTGTTTTGCTAGGTCTCCAGTAGGTCTGGGAAACACAGTTCTGCTTTGTGCGGGAAAGATGTTGTCCAGGAAATGCTTTTCATGTTTTAAAAACTACACTCAAGGATTTTTATAACATCGATAAAAGGGAACTGCTACTCACAGAGAAAGCTATTCCTCTACATAAAGCATTTATTTCAACCAATACATGGTTTATTACACAGGTCTGAGCAAGTCACTGTATTTGCTGTGGCAGAAATGGAAACAGTTTTGAAAAAAAGTCACGAAGTTCACAGTAAAAGCATCTGCACATTGGTAAAAACAGGAAGTCTGTAAACCCCTATAAGCCAGGATGCTATTTTATATAGCATGATAATAGAAGACATGATGGCACATTTGTTAAAAAAAGAAAAAAGTAAACAAATGTGTTTGTTATCCACCACCACAATAGCAAAGTTGATTGTTTGCGTAAGTGATCAGCAGATCCAGGAGCAATGAGTAAATTCCAAAAGTTAGAAGACAAACTGAGTCTACGTTAAAGCTCTGAAAAAAAGGTTTTGAAAGTTTGAGTCCTTCACAACGTGCCATAAATGAAACACTGGGTATTCTGCGACAGTCTTAGTGGTTACAAAATGCTGCTCTGCCCAATTTTTAGGAAATCTTAAGTGACCTGGTTTGCTGAC